AAAATGTGTGAGGATATACACCAAATATGTGTACGATTGCCCTCCAAAGCAGGTGCATCAAGTAACGCTACCTGTTCTTCCATGCCTCTTCCTGAGGACGGATACTTGGTTCTTGAAATGTGTTTCCAGACTATAGGAATTTGCTACTTCCTTGTGAAAGGCCCGACATGCTGAGCCGGGAGCAGAATAATTTTAAATTCGGAATTTACTCTTCGTTTCGTTCCACGAAACGTTCAAAGAAATCAAATCTCACAGGTTTGATCTCAGGACCTCCACTGAAAACAAAGCTATTGCACAAAAGATAGGTGAACCACAGCAACACCATTCTGAACTCAAGATTAAATTTAAAAGCACGTGTGTGTTTACCTAGCGTTTTGTAGCTTAAAGCTTAAAATGGACTTTTCTTATCCAAGTGTATGTTCAGCAAAGTTATGCATATGGCTTTGTTTAGACAATTAAAGTCATCTTGTTTTTCCGCACGCCCCCTGATTTATCATCTCTATTGTATCATATGCATTGGGAAACAGTTTCATTTCTATAATTACGTTTTCTATTAATCGGTGCCTCCAAAGGCAACTAAGCAACAAGTGACAGCTTTACAAGTAAATGGAAGGATTCGGTGTTTTACTAGCGAATCGAGCTTCCTGGGATGCAGTGCTGGGACCTGAGTGTCGCAGAAGGAACCATCAAGTTCCACACCCCTTGCTCATCCCTGGCAGACTCACCGCTGTGCAGCCAGGTGGCACTCCTCGCTGGACGGCCTTCGGGACATTTCTCTGTATTCCTTCTCAGAAAGGGGAGAGAGAGAGAGAGAGAATAACATTATTAGCCCCCTCTGTCCTTCAGCTGATCCTCAGCAAAACAGTTTGCAAGAGGACTCGAACTCACCGTGGTTCTTAACATTTTTAACCATCAGTGTGACAGAGAATCCAGTTCAGCTTCAGTCAAATCCCTGACAACCTTCCCTGGACCTCCGATACGTGTCACACATGCGCACGTGCATAATTAAAAAAAAAAAAAATTAAAAATCGTGTCTCTGCTAACGTCCTTTGTCAGAAAATTGTCACCATCTCCATTTTGATGAGCCCTGCCAATGCGCTGCGGTATACGTACAGGGGTTTTGTCCAAGTGCTATACTAGCGTTTTAACATCATTTTCTGTATCTCATCTCACAGCTATACTTAAAACACAGAGAAAGCTTATTAACTGTTCACCATGTGAATTCTTAGATGCCATAATCTTCTGGCAATTAGAAAAATGCATTAAATGTAACCGAATGTCAAATTATATATAAATAAACCTTCGTAAAATGTGCGTAACATACATCCATATGATTTCTGTAAAGAACATGTTCTTTTTTCAACTGTCTCAAGAAGCAGAAAACGGCAAAAACACACTAAAGAAATCCAAGGCTGGCCCGAAATGTGGCAGCACCTCATGCAGTAATTAAAGGTGTTGCCAACAAGCCATAAGCCGCCGCCTGAGCGGAGGAAATTCGGTCGTGGCGGAGCGTGATGGCAGGCTGGCAATCCTAATGCGACGGGGAAGAAAATACACCTGCTCTGTATTTATTATGTGGTTTTTTGGGGTACCTCGGGAGACGTTCGGGCACCCAGCGGCTCGGCGATGGAGCGTCC